TCATAATCATATGGTGGTTTTGGGACGTTAAACCCCACATATCAATCAATCAATGGTTGTTCCTCAGAGTCCTGGCGCAACCCACCACGGGGGATCGGCCATGAAACAGACGGTCTCGTCACATGACATCTCAGTCTCGTCACCTGACATCCTCTACCTTCTCTTGTTATTCACTGAACTGCACCGTATTTTTTTCTTTATTTACAGTTAAAGTTCAAACATTGGGTGCTAAGATAAATATGTTACAATACACAACGAGCATAACAAAAATATTTACAGCCGTCAAGTTTTACTATAACACATCACGTCCTAAAAATCCTTCATGGTCAGTAGGTCTTCTACCCTTTCTAACCATAATGATACACATTCATCTGTTCTTACTACATCGAGATACTTTCTTTAAAATACTCTCTCGCTGGTCTCCTGTCAGGGTCACAGTGATATCCACCGATTCTGGAGCGCCATATACTGTGCAAGGCAGTCGGCAGGATAAAATCGAAAAGTAATCCATCGTCATTCTCTATTGACAAATACCTGATTCCACGAGGGTCTAACGGAACCTCTTTTTTAATTGTTCTTTATATTACGTCACAAAAGTGTAGTCCTTCCTAACAGTGCAGGAAAACGTGGTCAATAGTTTCCGGTTAGAATTCTAGCAGATTATACAGTGAGATCCCCGTGGCATATAAAACCCACGTTCTTCTAGGAAGGTTTTTACGGGAAGTATTCCGGTGTGTAAATTTAAAAAAATTTGTCTCGTATCTGGATGTTACACTGCAAATGTCGTCGAAAGACGATAGTCTTGCGTCTGGAGAGAGTGAAGAAAACGTTTATTTGATGTTTTGCACTAGAAAATTGGTAAATGGTATTCTGGAGGTGCTGAGTTAGGGTGCCTCGAGGGTGCAGCGAAGGCGAACGAGCACATCAAGTCACGTCACACTTGAGACATGAGCGCTATCTGGCAGTTATCATGAAAAATGGGGCCCGTGCCGTGCGTGCCCATCTCTGATGTGATAAGGTGTAGAACGCCAGGCTACGGGTAGGTGCCACCACCATGTCGTCTTAGCAAAGCATTGGAAACACGTTCCGTTTCGAGCAAGCGTTGCATGGCCAGCGCAGTGTTATAAAGGCTACGATGCCTTTTCTAAAAACAATACTCATACATAATATTGAAGTGTTGTTATGGTGCCTCAGATATGCGCAATTATTGTTTTTCAATCGACAATCGCACACGTATGAACGCTGAACCTTGAGGAATATTGGCGGGCGCTGTAAATAGGGTCGGCCGTTCGGAGTATCGTTTGGTCACTTTGATGCCGTTTTGAGTACCTCTAAGGACGGACGGGCGGACGGACGGACGGACGGACGAACGGATGGACGGAGAGACAGACAGACAGACAGACAGACAGACGGACGGACGGACGGACGGACGGTCGGAGCAAAATGTTTACGTTGAAGGTCCCCAAGAAAGACTATCGTTTTCAAAAAGAACGTTTCTGCACTTGCAGCTGCTGGCGTTTTTTTTAACTTGTTTAAGTACATTCTAACCCTTGCGTGCGGTATAGAGCACTCTGATGCTCCACTGAGCTACAACGGTGCTTGTGACTTGTCTAACTTGCCTTAGGAAGGCTTCATGTGTCTCTTCATGTGACCACAGCAAGAAAACAACCAGTCGTCGCACAATGCGAATAGCGTAACGAGTGGGCCGTCCAATGCTCTAAACCATCACAAAACCTTGTTCTTGTTCCCCTAATAACTGTGGCGCATACCCACTTTAGCTATAATTCCTCGTCGTCGTCAGCCACTGCATGGACAGTTGGTACAAGTTTCCTTGAAAGTGCTTAGCGGATACCGTGCTCCTCAGAAGAATGACAAAAAATAGCTTAGCAAAACCATCCTGCTACCCAAATGTTTATTATTAACGCCCTAGTGGGTACCAAGCAAGTGTGCTTGTGGTAGTTACCCATTGAGTGTTTTGAAAAGGCTTGGAAAGGCCGCTCTTCTAGCTTTCGCTGCGACTGTGTTGGGCATACCGCATCGGCTTGGCGTTTTTTCTTAGCAATCTGTATCGGTGACATGATAAAAAATAGTGCTCTAATGTTTATGATTCTGAACAAAAGTTGCACAACGGTAATATCGCCAGACCAACTATGTGAAGAGAAGCTTAACGGGGCGACATGACAACAAAATCTGGTTATTATGACTTCCAACTGTATTGTAGGACGCCAATGGATTTTTCACGAAAATCTCCATTGAGTAAATTCTGGCGATGAAGTTATTGCTGCCATAGCGTCTGCACGAAGCGAAAGTTTTCTGTATCTTGTCGCACGTATTGTGAGCACTTCAGGAAGGACTGATATTACTGGACATTCCAATGCTTTTCTTGCTAGAGAGTCAGCGATTTCATTTACTTCTAAGCCACAATGACCAGGTACCCATACTAATTTCAGTTAAAATGATATTGCATTAGCGCAGCTCAGTTTGATCGTGAAGGAATGATACTATGCAGTCAAGAAGGAGAAAAAAAAACAGATGACAGTGTGAGCGATAACTTCCAACTTTTGTTTATTGCGTACCCTTTATGCCTTATTCTTTATTCATACATAACCCCGCTTTGCCTGGAGGTGTTACAACCGGAGGGTTAACAAACATGAAGGAAACACATCTTCATTGTTACTGCACACTTGCTCAGACAGCAAAGCATTCCACTCGTTGATGGTTTTCAGAAAAAACGAATTCGCGTACAGGTTTATCCTGGCCCGGTATGGCCTTATTTTGTGTATATTACTCATACGTTCATATGTGTACTCTGGCTGTTTTAGGTAAGTGTCTCTCTAATTCATATAACAATTTCAAACGTGTTTTTTACGTCATGACAAAACTGACTCCCAGTTAAATTTTTTTTCCATTTCGGTACAACTGTTACTTTTTCCATACCAACTCAGGACAGACTTGGCTGCTCTAATTTGACTTTTTTCTAATTTAAAATTCAAGCCTACATGGGTCCGAAAGAGTACAAACATTTTTTAAAATTGGTCAAATACAAGTGAGGTAAGCCGTGTTCCTTTGCTGATAATCCGCACATCTGAAGTTCCAATATTTATACCCACATTTTCTATCTAAAATGATTACCCTTTAATATTAGTTAGCAATAAATATTTTTTCTTCTTTGAAAACACACATGAACGCACTTGTTCGTGTTCAAATTCATTTTCCAATTAAGACACCATTGATAAATACGTTGATAAATAGAGATAAATAAACACTATTGATGATACGTTCAGCCTGTTTTCACGGAAATCACGTTCATTTCCAATTTTTCTGTAAATAACGCAATCATCTGCAAATAGCCGAATATTGGAGCCTATGCCCACAATAATGTCGTTTATAAAATGATAAATGATAGAGGTCCCAGCACAGACCCCTGGGGGACGCCGGATTTGACTTCAAGAAAATCCAATTTATTGTAATTTAAAACAACACAATGGCGGCGTTAAAACAAGTACTTTTCAATTCAATTAAGAATTTTTCGTCTTTACATAGCGCTCGTAATTTTCCAAGAAGTAGAAGATGGGAAACAGTGTCAAAGACCTTGCCGTAATCGAGAAACAACACATTACATAGCTCATGCTATTTGACGCTACGCATGACACAACCATACACGTGTGGCACAGCACACTATCAAAAAAAGCTAGTTGGGATCTGATTTCAATTTAGCAATTCTATACCAATGCTTTACAGCACGCGCTCCAGAAAATAGAGCTCTTTTCGACATAAGGCCACAGATGGCGTACTCACACACAGCTTTACACATTTTGCGATAGCTTTCGCCTAGATAATATCCAGTGTCAATTGGTTACGACTGCAGCCCAGGATGACAAACTGATCAAAGAATAGAGTGTATCCACACGTCTTACAATGCATAGCCAGCAAACCACCAGAAGAAATTTTGTTTTTTACAGTGCAAGAGTGCTCGCGCAAGCGTTCATTAACACACCTACCAGTCTGCCCAATGTAAACCACGCCACACGACAGCAGGAACAAGTGGACAACAGCTAGAATGCATTCAAAAAACTTAGTTACATGCTTCTTTCCACAGGTGTGTTGCACCTCCTTCTTGGGGTTCGTAAGCTTACATTGACGGCTTAGTTTGTCTGGAGCAGACAACACCACGCATACATTTATTCTCAGGGCTATCTCTTTCAAATGAGGTGAAATTTGATGTACGTGCAGAATCACACTGGTTTTCCCAGCGTCGGGCTCACCATTCGTATGCGGTCGTCCCCGCATACGTGGACCATTCAAAAGGCAATCAGCTACCCACACCTGCACCAACACTGGGTAGCCTGCCAAGGATGATCGCTTGCTTTGTCGTGCAAAAATGTGAGGACCCTTGAGCTTCGCCTTTAAGAATAGAACGCGACAGCGAAAAGCGGCCCCTAGTGCACCCTTGAACCGCTAGCTGCACACTTATTTAAATGTTTTGTGACATACACACGCACGCACACAAACACGCAGGAAATTGAACCAGTGCGCGCTATTATCGCCGAATGGGCTCGTTCTCGTCCTGGCACCTGTCGAACGAAATGCGTTAAAGGGACCCTGAAATACTTTTTCTAGTAATCATGGAAGGAATTCATCCAACCACGAGACCAAGAAGCTGCAAGGTGACCATGAGTCTCCATACTTTGATTTCTAAATGGTGCTTCTACTGTCTGAATTGTTGAGTTGCTAGCACGAGAGTTTTTACACAAGTTTTATAACAATGTGGGAACCTGCCATACAACCTTGCCATGCCTATCACGATGTTTCCTGCGGGCGTTTTTCCATCACTGGTTTTCGTCTGCAATGGCGTTTTTTTTTTCAACATTATTCGCATGCAGTGTCGCGTAATATTAGAGCAGTTTATAGTGCAATGAATTGAGCCTTCTTAAAATTCTGGCTTTTGAAAAAAAAATGCATCGATTGAATCGCAGAAACGATGGCGCTCTTTTTCGCAGGGTTACCAGAAGTCTAAAGCCTATATCTGCACTCAAGGTGAGGAACGCCTATTTTCAGATTTTTAGGAAGTGCCGATGAGGTGACAATCTCAATGTAGGCAAAGTGGTAAAAATTCTACGTTTATTTTTCCTTCACAAAGACAATGACGCCTAATTATGCGACGCTATATTATGACGCCCATAGATCAAACTTGTAGCCAGCAATATTTTTCGGCTGGAGAAAGAAGGGCCTTGCTGAAGGTTTCGCAATTTCAGCAATCTGTTGAAATCTCTGGGGGCGGTGGGGGGTACGCAAGGACATTGTCTATGGTTATTGGCATGGTACAAACACATTGTCTTTCGAATAATGTATTAACCAACAGCAGCTCTGAGATCTTGAATACTATTCGGACGTGTACCTTAAATGTAGATGATGCGGTACCTTTAGACAGCATGCGTATCGATGCTATACGATGGTGCATACTTTTTAAAAGTGGGTTGCGCGGCGCCTAGTGGTTCAGCAGGCGCATACCCGGTGATCCGCGAGCCACTAATAAATGTTTCTTTGTTTCTAGCTACACTGAGTTGGCGATAGCAAGGGGCATTAGATTCAACAAATTTTTATCACTCATGCCCGAATGACAATAAAAACATCTGCGAGCATTGGTCATCACAATATTCTGCAGAAGCATTGTCACTATGGTATTAGGGGTAATACTTACTTCTTAATTTCATTATACGTAGAACACCGCACACAGTGTGCAGAAATTAATTGACACGCATCTCTCCTAAGAAAAGGTAATATAGGTGTACCTCAAGGAAGCATCCTAGGCTCGTTTTTATTTCTTTTATTTGTTAATGACATTGTCGACATTGATGAGACAGTAGAGTATGTCATCTACGCCGACGATATGAGCATTTTCTTCTCTGGTCGCTGCTGTCAAGACTTATCGGATCATGTGAACGCCGCTCTTGAGTTAATTCAGCAAGGGTTCATAGATAATCACCTGGGGTTGAATATTAAGAAAACGAAGACTGCGATGTTTCACCCTCGTCATAAGAAATATGCTACGCGTCCCCTTTTTATCAATGGTGCATCACTTGCATACGTCCACTCTTTTAAAACGATGGGCATATATTTTGCCGCAACGATGTCATGCGATTCACACGTTGACTTCCAGCTTGAAAAAATTAGTTTCGCCGCAAAGGTGAAGCAATGAATGGAATAGCAACAACTTGTAATGTAATGCTGAAAATGGCAAGCCGATCGAAGCGTGCAGTGCACTGCTCACGCACAAATTAAGCGCGAAAACAACACACCCGAAACGAGAGCGAACTAACAAGGTGAAAGCTCGGCACTTAACGCGCTGTTTAAACAAAAACTACCCACAATACGTAATATGACCCACGATACAAGTACAGATGAGTGCAAACTAACAAGTGTCCCACTTGTTGTTTCGCTGTGTGTAAACAGCACGCTCCTTTCGCGAACGGTGCCTGTGCATCGAGTGAAGTGGCCTTTGTAGGCCCGCCAACTACAACGCAGTCGTTCCGCTGAAAGACGAAGGCGCACGATTCCCTCCATGAAGGCAGGAAAGCTAAGGAGAGGCCCACGCAATGCGAGCTGCAGGGCGAAAAGTGTGGCGAAGCCACGTGTTTTTACAAAGGGGTTGTCGGAGTAGGTGGGCACGCCAGCGTCTTGTCTCGTCTGCATCGCAACTCCTATGACCGCGATGTTGAATAGCCCAGCTGGAGTTGTTAGTGTGCAATTTTATGCAGCTGTTGCATTTCATGGATGCTGCGATGAGTTAGAAGCCTACAGTGAGTGTTGGTCTCCCTTGCTGCGAGTAAGTGTCTATATTGCCGACTGCCGACAGATTATGTCAGTCGACCGAATGCTGGCAGTTCTTTCGTATCGGAGGGTTACAAGTAATGAAGTCAGGTTAGGTTCAGGTCATTGATGCTGCAAGCAAAATGTACTCGTTGGTTTTTGCGCCACTGCCACCGGCTACGTCGGGAAATGCTCAGAGGCTGGGTTGACTTCATCGACTTGCCTTGGCCAATAGATTGGAAGCTCAGGTCATGACAATAGTGATCAGTGATGCTTTATGTCGGAGAGCGAAAATAGCTGATTAGCTGCTTAAAAGCAAAAATACAGCGCCTCTGGTTTCTTGTATATCATGCAACTACACGTGCAGCCGCTATTCTGTCAGCAGAGATATCGCCGGCAAGACAGGCTCACCAAAAACGTGCGGCAGATAAGTCACATAGTCATGTGCAGCCGATAGGAAACAACTGCCGGCAGCTTTTTTACCGGAATAATATGCCGGCTGTCGGCACTATAAACGCCGCCTAGTTTATATCGCTTGAGGTCAAAATCAGTCTTTTTCGAAGCTTCTAAAACTTCTACCAAAACGGTTGGCACCATAGCTTCATCATTTTCCTTGAACACTGTGCTGCTGCGTGCCTCAGTGAAGGATGCTTAAAATTCTTAGACGAGAACGGCAGCGTTTACAGCTCTTAATGCGAGAGGCGGTGGTGAGCCGTCCTCTTGTACGATGGTCACAACTATCGGAAAGCAGTACGTGGCCCACTGTTCTCACCGGAGCTTGCCGAGTCAAGAATCAGATTTGCCTGGCACACTAAGATGACTCATTGTTTGAATTATCGCTTCCTGTTTATGTTCGTGCGCGGTAACCTCATCTCTGGCCATGTTTTTTTTTTTTCGATATGGTTGCGGTCGGTCAACCCTTGCTGCTGGGAACAATACTCGTGCGCACGTATTGTGACACAGAAGGTGCAGAATGATTCGAAGCTGCTTCATGAGGCTAAATACAAAAACAAACTAAATAACATTTGTCTGCTACATCATGTTCCGTACCCCGAACTTAGCCTATCTGCAGAAGAAAACAGCCTGTTGTGAAAATTATTCCACTGAATCGTGCCGTTGCTCTCTTGCGTTCAGTAAAAAAAACACGAAGTGCAAGGCTGCGCGTGCATTGTAGATTGACAATATGAGCCGTAATGAGGCTGCCGATGGCACACAGGCACTATGCAAGCGAGTATGGCAGCACAGTTGCTCGTAATCAGCACGGAATTGCTCCTATTCAGCACAAACGTTTCGGCTTTCCCAGCTCGTCTATCGGATGGCAGCAGTGGTGCCGCCCGGCGCGTTCAAAATCGCCTCGCCTTCCACTCGCTGGCGCCCTTTGCGCATGTGCGAACCGCCGTATAGCATGCCCAACATAGCGAGGAGGAGTCTTCTACTCTTACCTAATTCCTGCTTCACAAAATGCCATGTAACAGCCTCTCCTAAGTTTATTCATTTCTCCGTGATTCTCCCCCACCGAAGTATAAACGCTCGCGCACAATCATCTACCCCCCGCCCGCTCTGCGGGGCAAAGAATGCCTGGCATATGAGCGTACGCTGGCGCATCGAGACGAGCTGGACGCCAAGTGCGCTCAATGCGCCGTCTAGCTGGTGATGCTGAAAAGACGCTACCTCCCCGAGATCAGCACCGACAGCGGTAAGTGGTAGATATAAATAGCTGGCTGGTTCAATAGTGAAAGAGGTGCTTTCTCGGAGAGGTAAGACGTTCGATTTTGCGCGCCAGAGTCTTTTATAGCGTTAGCAACACTGGCCTCGCTGAGCCGAATTCACGTGGCACTGGTATGCGCATGCGCAATGATACTCCGCCGCCGCCGAGCGTGGCTCGCCGCCGGTGTGTCCGCAAATTGATGCGCTGCGCAGACAATCAGCACCGGAGCCGGCGCTCGGCCGCGGCAGCGCGCGACTCGCCGCCGCCGGTGTGCGCTTTCCAGGGGAGTGCCGTCAGACATATGGACGCCGATGCGCGTGCCTTCCCTGTGCAGTGGCCATCTGACACTGCGCTGGAGCCGCTTGATAGCGCCTCTGACTGGCGTTTTCCGCTGTGGTATAGCCATGGAGAAGGAGAGTGCAAATGCTGCTCAACGGTGCAGTAGAGCGGAGAAGCTAAACTCATCGGATCCCGAAGTAGTTGCCCCGCAAAATAAATATACGCGTGTCATTGCAGCAGCAGTAAGGGTAATAATCAAGCTAATCCTAGACGCTCTGCAAAGCTAAGAACAATCAGCTGAACCTTTGCTAACGCTACGTATATCCTGGCATAGCTGAGCTAAGCCACTGCCATTTTTTCTGATTATTTTTTGTTCTTGCGTTCTCGTATACATAATTACGTATACACATACGATGAATGACAGCAGCGACAAATGTTCACGCTGACACTTGCGATTAAAACCAGCCGAGAGTGTCCGTAGAACTAATGCCATATTAAATACTTTCTTGTACTATAGGAATTTTGCAGCGAAACAGTGCAACGTTCCCGGTTACAGTAAATCTATGGCTTTACAGCTCTGTTCTCTTCAACTCGTGACTATGGTGTTCTTGTGTGGGGAACACCACGAATACAAATAATCATGAAGTTATTATTGCTACTAAAGAGAATTATTAGACTAACTTAAAAGGTGCCCTACTTGTCACACACAGCTGAATTGCTTGCCAAGTTGCATGTCTTTATAGTTCCATCACTACTGACTACAATATATATCATTATTAGGGAGTTTTAGAATACTATTTGCAAGCGCTGCTGGCGTTGCGGGCGAAGCGGCTGCCATAAGAGTTTTAGAGCAGTGTATGCCCTGCTGCGAACCACAATGCGCGATCGCAGCGACACCGTAGCCTCGAAACCAGCGCTTGCGGGCCACATTCGGGCCACCATCACCGCACGCAATTTCGGATTTTCTGTGTGTGGTCCGCGAACGCGAACGGCAGCTCGCATTACGATGCATGCACAATGGCAGCAACCGCACCGCAAGGGCTCGCGGTGCGCTATTCTAAAGCTCCCTGTTATAAACAATGCACAAAAAACAAGGACCATACCCCAAAAAGCTTTCCCAACCTAAAGCAAATACAGTTGCGTACAACATCCGTAACCCAGAGAAGTGGGAAGTGGCACAATGCCGCCCTAATTATGGGAAACAAATGGTACGTTACCAGCTACCGTCTCCGTAAACTGG